CTTCGGCATAGTTTTTAGACGGGATGCTATTCCTGAACAACCAACCCACCATTTTTTTAAAAAATCTGGCCAGACTGGGTATTGGGGAACTGGCTATGACTGTAAGGAAGCCGTACTAAAACATTGGTTTTCATCTGTCGTTAAACTAAGCAGTGATGACAGTACTGAAATGTACATCATTTTTATTCACATCATATGACGAATAGATATTTTATGGCACTCTGAGGGGACAGCAATGACATCATCAACACGCTTCCCTTCCAGCATTGTGCACCGTATTTGGCGAGGTGTCACAGTGACAGCGTGAAATCCCGCATTGTCATTCCTTTAGGTGGCGAGTGAAAGTGAGCGAGGTAGCGTCTGACATCACCGCTCAGAGTGCAGCCTTTTTTTTTCTCTCTCTTTTCCTCAAGACGTTTTTGTTTTTACAGCTTCAACTCTGGGCAGAGCCGACCGCTGTGTGCGCACACAACACACAGACGTGTGCGCACGCACACACACGCACACGCACACACACACACGCACACGCACACACACACACACACACACACACACACACACACACACACACACACACACAAACCCCTAAAGAGGCCTTTTTCCACATAGGGCCATATGGTGCAGACAGGCGCGCGGAAACAATTCTCCAAAAACAACACAAACTCTGCATTTAGAAACCTGTCATCCAGATACACACAGTATTACACACACACACGCACGCGCGCACACAGTTAAATCTGCTGAATGAATTGCTGCCTTGTTCGGTGGTGCGCTAATGGCAAGGAACCTGCCATAGAGATTAGCACACTTGCACACTCACATCCTGCATTAGGTATTCTGGGGCAATTATCCATCGCTACCAAATTTAATATTCCAATTGAGGCCTTTTACACCGGCCCATAAAGACAGCTGATATTTAGCTTGTCCTGGCATGATTACATCTTTAATATAGCATAGTAAGGTAATAAATTTAGAGGAAAAAAAAAAAAAAAAGGGCCGCAGTGAATGGCTGGCTGTGGCGTGGCTCTTCAAAGCAGCTATGTGTTTCCATGCGATATTCCAAACTAGCAATCCAAACTTCCAGTAACTTCCACCACGCAACTCTGGCAGCCAGTGGACTGGTGGTGAGCACGCCGCCGCCACACTCAACATGGCAACGCGTTGGGTCATTTGTGGAGCTCGTCGCTGGGATTAAGCAGCCGTGTGGAATTGATTCATCGCTCGCTGAGGCAAGCGAGGCCCAAAAAAAAAAAAAAAGGAGTGCGCTGCTCGTTTTGTAAGCCGACGAACAACAACGCGGCTGCTCGGGCCGCGCAGACCTCACAGCTAATTTTGCTACAGACGACAACGGTGTTGAAAGAAGAGTTCAGAACATGCAGAGAAGATTTACCAACCTAACAGGCCAAGGGAAAGTGAATATATTTACTTGATCCAAAGTCAGATGGGACCATTCATAACCCTAACAAGGATAAATGTCATAGAAAATGGATGGCTGGATTATTCTTCTGTTTTTTTTATCCTTCAGGCAAATTTGGATGCTTCAGCTGGTGGCTAATGAAAGCACCATGCCAGTAATACCCCACAGCGCTTGTGTAATTGAAAGCTCTTCGCCATAATAGTGTCAGGACACAACGGCAGACGGCATATTAAAAAAAAAAAAAAAAAAAGGCATCTTAAATGTTTAACTCCTTTAGTAAAACAGGCTCAGTAACGCCATGGCGCTGACGGTGCAATCATTTCCTCCCACACGCACTCGCAGCAGCAGCTGTACGGCACACCGGCATATGGATTAAATAAATACAGTGTGCACGGAGCTTGTTAACACTTGTTCAGTTGGCCACGGCATAAGGTGGTAGCCAAAAAGAGAGAGAGGAGGAAAAAAAAAAGACAACACACCCTGTGGCGGCACACATACAAGCAGGTGAGCGGGTGTAGCTCGGCTTGGCGTGGGAGCGAGGAGCAACACACAAGTGTAATTGCTCATGAGGCAAACCCAGCGTGCAGGATCAGACTCGGGAAGCCGAGTTCACGCTGAACCGCGAGTCGGGTTTGTATGCCCGTTGGCAATGTGGCTGGTTTCAAACCTGATTTGATTAAGGCATTTCAGCGCAGTCCGGCTAGAAACAGTCGGGAGACGAATGGAGTGGGCCTTGGAAATCTAAGTTGGACCCACTACTGGCCCTGCTTTTGTCTTGTTACCGTTTTTCTGATGAATGGCGCCAGGGAGAGCGCTCACCTAAGTTAGCTCGGCCAACGAGTCCGTCATATGTGATCGTTTTGGCTACTTTTACATACTGACAACCTAATAACCGAGTAATAGGACTTGCAATACAGTGGCTCACCACACACCACAAATGAACAAAATACCAAAGTAGTTGTCCTCTGCAGAGGAAGACAGAAGTAGGTGTGTGCGTGTGTGTGGAGGTGGAAGTTCCGCATTGGCTCATCTAATCACATATGGAAGTAGGAGTGGTTAAGAGAGCAGCTGCTTTTGTTCACGGCAGTTTCAAAACAGCCTGTGAAAATACATGTACAGTAACTTACATTTTTCATCGTGGCTTTCAAATGAGTTGAGCGTACTGCCGATAGCATCTTGCTAGCTATGGCATCTGCTAGCCAGAAGCTAAACGGCACCGTATTTGTTTACAGTTTGCAGACCAGAGCACAAATAAGCAACATTTCCTGACGCTTACCCAGTATTGTATGTTGTACGTGGGAGCGCCGCTCTTTTCTTTCTGCAAAAGGCAGAACGTCTTGTACTAGCTGCCCCCGACCCACCAGTTGAGAATCACTGATCTGTTTGGCAAATGGTTGGGGCCAATAATCAAAAATGTTAAACCTGTTCAACATTTGACATCGCAAATCCTCCAACAGTTTAGTCAAGGCATGTGAGCAGACCGCTCAAGCATGCGGTGTCCATATTTGTGTGGACGGGAACATAACTGTCCTCTGGTTTTAGTGCTGCAGCTAGGTTGAATCTCATCATCATCATCATCATCATTGGATAGCAAACGTGGTTTTCAGAGCATGTTCAAGAAAAAAAAATTGAAAAAGAGCTTAGCAGGTTGGCAACAAATACAAGTTAATAGAATCTTGATAACACTGTGGCCTCATAAAACACACAGCAAAGCAAAAGGTCACATTTTTATACTCGACATTTCCACACACTTCACAAGCTTTTTGGATTGGATGTTTGGGAGGGGGAGGAAAAAAAAAAAAAGGTAAGATGGTGCTCCAAATTTCCTGTAAAGTCATTGTGGTTCTGTCGATTTTGCAGTTTTCTCCTAATTACACAGATTTATTTTTGACAACGTTAATTTATAAGCGCTCGTCTCCTAATTACCAACAAGATGGATGGACGGATTCATGTCCCGCCCACCTCAGACTGCGTAAGTGACCTGGGAAAAGTCACATTAACTGCAACCACAATGAAACTGCACTGTGTTTACTCTCTTCCATTCATTTAATCAATTATGAAATCTCTCTCTTGATTAGGAAATTTTACAAATATGCCATTTGTTCCATTTCCAGTCCCACAACACACACACACACACACACACACACACACACACACACACACACACACACACACAACGCCTAACGCACTTCTGTCATTTCGCCGAAATGACAAGGCGATCATGAGCAAACTAACAAATGATGTCATTAATTGCGGTGACGTCTGGCGACAACGCCTTTATCCATCTTTGTCTGCATAATTTAGATGTCTCTGCCAGGGAAATACTTGTTTGTCGGACAAAGATTAAAAAAACAAAAGTTCACGCCAAAAGTGAGCGTGTAGGTGAGTATAGTGAGGGCGAATGGCTGTGCTTACAGAATGATGCACTGGCAGTTCCTGTTCCAGAGACCTATTTTTCCGCCCTAATGGAGCATCAGTGTTTTAATGCGTGACAGTGAGAACAACCAAAATTCGAAAACAACTGTTGCTAAAACGCTAACAACTGGTAGACGAACATAGAGCAAGATTCCAACCCCAGGAGAGAATGTGGGAAGGCAGACGTTCTATATATATCAACCAAAACCTAGAAAATCCTTTAGTTACCGAAGGCAGAAACATGTCGGGGGGGACTTGTTTCGTGTAGTTTATAGGGGATTGTGTCGATATGGCAACACATTTTTTTTTCTCCAATCCAACCGCAGCCCAGACGCATCTTTTGATTTGTCATTTGTGGGGGTACATTTTGTTACAGCCTTAGTCCAAAGTGATTACATTCATTACAAATGTGTTTAAAAAATAATAATCATAATCATCGCATGGGCAAAAGTATTTACAAACATGGCGCAGTACTTCATTGATGGACCATGGGCAGCAATTAGTCTTTTTGAAGATGGCGCTAAACCTGTCTTTCACCAGCCCGCTTCCTCTTTGAAGCATCTCGACCCCTACACAGTTTCGGTAAATGGGATAGTTTGTTTTGTCTGTCGACTAAATCTGCGCAAGACTGCACCAAGTGGGGTACAGTATAGCTGTGTTGCGTTGACTATGATGTAACATTTGCAAAAACAACAACAACAAACGTGAAAATATTCGGCCAGTCAAACAGAGACGTAGCACTGACCATGCCGCAGGGCCATTACGTCAGAAACGCGTGCGCGCGTTTGAAATGACAGCCCGACTTAACTTTTAGGCTCCATCAAGTTGTCTCCACTTGACATTCCTTCAGTTTTTTTTTTTTTTTCGGGAACTGCACAAAAACATGTTCCAAATCCGACTCGTGCTGGCAACATCAAAGCTGTCGCAGTACCACAACACACAGGCACGTACATGCGAAAGTGCGCATGTACGCACACGCAAATATGCGCACCCATAGACAGTCGCAGACACCAGCGCGCACGCAGACCACAGCTAAAAGCATCAAGCGGTTAAAAGCAACCCGCCCTGCTGAATAACATCACTAAGCAAAAGCCACTGTACCACATAATGAAAAACATACAAACACACACGCACGAACAAACGCACGCATGCCCACGCACACACTCACGTGCTTAAAAGGCCTTGCGTGTGTATCCCGTCCCATATGTTGAGGCTTGTCCTAATTGTTTATCTAAACACACAATGACAGAAAAAGTCATCATCAAAAGTCTTGCTGTTTTTTTTTTTTTTAGGTTGTTTTTGGGCCAGAACTCCAGCAGAGTTTTTAACTTTCATCATAAATTTTAATTGCATTGAACGATATCTATTCATGATGATGAGTGGATACGCACAAACCATATGCCTGGCCAAAATACAATCACACACACCCAAAATACATTCACACACACACATACATACATACACACACACATACATACATACATACATACATACATACAGATAAAATTAGTTTTAGTTTTACATATATACATATATGTAGACAGACAGACAGACAGACAAGTGTGTGTTTCAAGAAACATCTCATGAAACAAACTGAAAAAAAAAGTGTTACGATTCATTGTGGCGTGAAGTGTATACAATCACACACACCCAAAATACATTCACACACATACATACATACATACGTACAGATATATATTAGTTTTAGTTTTACATATATACATATTTGATACAGACAGACAGACAGACAGACAGAGAGACAAGTGTGTGTTTTAAGAAACGTCATGGAACATAAACTGAAAAAAAAAGTGTTACGATTCATTGTGGTGTGAAGTGTGAAAATAAAAGTAAGAAATAATAATAATAATAATACAATAACTATAATACAAACTAAACATACATTCTAAAACATCAAAACAAAACAATGCACATTTTGACACACTAAAAAAAATGGACAAATGGAAAAAAAATATTTTCCCATGAGAATTAATGAATGACTTAATCTTTGATAATTTCATTGTACTCATTGAGAAAAATAGGTAACTGCCGTGACATTTTTGTAACTGATGTATTAATACAAAATCTAAATTATTGGAGTTTATATTGTTGGTGAGCCTACTTTAAATACATAAAAATATACAATAGATTAACATCAAATCTTGTTCAAGAGTTAACAATGAAGGAATTTGTCATATGAGTCGTGGTGATTATTGTTATTTTTATTTTTTTTTTTTTAAATTATGGATGTTACTGTCGGCATATTTAAAAGTATGTCTTACCTCTGCTGGTCATCAGGTTATAAAAACATGCCTGGGCATCAGTTCTGTTCAAGCGGCTCAGTTAGGCCCCGGAGGTTTCTGCTCCGATAAGAATGGGGGGGTGTTTAAAAAAAAAAAGTAACAGTGGAGCTCAGGCTAAATCCAAGCTCTCCTTTCTCAGCAAGGCCGCATAACTCCACGCAGGTCCATGGCGGCCAAACCTTCAGCTTTTTTTTTTTTTTTGTGGGGGGGGGGGGGGGGGGTAAGAGGAGGTGAGGGGGAGCTTTAGGAGGGTCTTAAACTCCACATGGCATCCGCTCGCTCTGGTCCACTGCTGCTGGTGCTGTTATGCGTCGCAGCCCGATGGAGCGTGTTGTAGATCCACGGGAGAAGTTTTAAAACAGGTGGCGGTCCAGTCTCACTTCTGGTTTAGATCCTTACTTGTCGATTTTTGTGAAGGGGGGGAAAAAAAAAAGCCACCTTCAGCACCTGGAAGAAGGCAGAAACACAAATAGGTTTAGATTTTACATGCAACGGCGTTTTATATCAGGACAAATTTTACGGGAAACAATTTCCCCGCCAAGACTTGCAAATTGGGTGTCGTGTGGAAGAAGGAAAAAGAGTTTCATGCCACGCTGCCAATGTGACTGCAACGTAGACGGAGAAATCGAATCCATCCCGCAAACGAGAGCCAGACGGCCTCGAAATATGGCGGTCGGTGACATTTGTGGAACATGGAAAACTACCACGATATACGTAGGTTACCCACCGTATAGGGTCGATGGTGCAGAAACAATAGAATGAGTCATGCTACAGATTATCCGATAGATTAATCAGATAAAAACAGATTTTATTCTATTAAACAAAAAAAAAAACGTGCATGTGAGAAGCAGGTATTACTGTGGTCCACTTGGGGTTGCCATCCTCACCTTCCACAATGTGACTTTGAGTGTGTATGGCTTTTAAAAGGTAGGGCCCCGCCTGGTGAGTGACGTGGGTGTCGGCATCAGAAGGTGAGTGTCGTCTTAGCTGTTGTGAGTTCCAGTTTGCGGCTGGTTGTTAACTCGCTAACTCTTCACCGGTCTGAGTGTTAAATGGCATAAATTGCATGACGAGCGTTTATTTTGTTTTCGCTTTATAATAAAGCGATTGAAAGAGCATCGATGGCTGGGTCTAACAAGCGGTGGCGGGCTATATTAAATGAGCTAACACTGTTACCTGTTATTGTCCTTTCAAGATCCATCAAGTCAATTAAAAAAATAAACTGTCATGTCACGATGGGATTTGTGTGTGTAACTTTCATTTTGAGCTGAGCTCGGTGTTTACAATCCAATGTCAGAAGACGACAATTGCTCCTGTAGGCTTTTACAATAACCCTCGCCGTGGCGGAAATCTCATCCCTCCACGTGGCCATTCGAACTTTTGTCTGGGTTGTAGAAAACAAAGGCGGCGCCCATTCGCGATGGCGAGCGAGTCATTATGTGAAAACAGATACGGGGCGTTTTGGAAGAGAAACAGAAGACTGCTGGCGAGAAAAATCAAGCGCATTATGAGTCATTACAGAAATTATGAGTCATTTTTCAGACCTTCCCATCTCGAAGCGGTACTATGAGTCTGGTTTTGCGCCATAAAAAAAAAAAAAAAAAAAATCACACTGAAACGTTTTGATATTGTGATATCACAGTGAGAACCCAGATTCATTTAAGACCCGTCCATCGTAAGAGCTGCTGCGACACACACAAAAAAAAAAAAAATTCCGCTTCCGTATTTTGTACGCTTGACCAGAGAGCGACTTCAATTCCAGCACCGGGTTTTCTCCGGGTACTCCGGTTTCCTCCCACATTCCAAAAACATGCATGGCAGGCTGATTGAACACTCTTAAATTGTCCCGAGGTGTGAGTGTGAGCGTGGATGGTTGTTCGTCTGTGTGTGCCCTGCGATTGGCTGGCAACCGGTTCAGGGTGTCCCCCGCCTACTGACCGAAGACGGCTGGGATAGGCTCCAGCACCCCCCGCGACCCTTGTGAGGATAAGCGGATCGGAAAATGGATGGATGGATGGAAAAATTGTTTCACTCACAATGGGAAAAGGGCTTTCTTTCCCGTCAAAAGTTGGAATATTTTCCCCGCGGAGCCCCGACTGGGTCTAGCGGCTCCTCATTCATTTACTCCATCACAGTTCTCTGTTTTTCTCCTTATCCGCCGCGTCTCCAGCGTGACTTATCTCCATCCTTTCCACTCGTGTGCCTCTACCAACTTTTCAAATCTCTTTCCATGGCTCTGTCTTTCCCATCAATCCGTCACTGAGCTCTCGACAAACCTTCGCATGATTCCTGCTTGTTTTTCCAACTTGTGAGTGCCCGAGACACAATCGCGTGTGCGCGCACACCCGCATACATACAGATGTCTTCCCACCACAGTACAGCCATCGCCTCCCTTGCTCCACAGCTGTGTGTGTGGTCCCGTCCGACTATAGGCTGTTACATTGTGCCAGACAGGTCAGGCAGCGTCACTAGCCGGTATACGAGGAGGGGGGTGGGTAACTTGACTTGGTTGTAGGGTGGGGGGGCGGCGGGGGGATGTTTGTTTTTCTGTTTCCAATTTGGTCTGGCCCGGGAGGAACTCCACACTCCGCTCCGTCTCAAACGCACCATTCATGACGGCCCGACGCACGTGATTACACGCAAACACCCGCTCGCCCCGCTCGCCCCCGTTCGCGCTCGCAGAAGGCGTGGCCAAAAGTACAGTCACCACCTAAACACACACAAGTTGGTTGGCACCGCTCTCGTCTGCCTGTACGCCTTGCGACTGGCTGTCAACCAGTCTCGGGTGAATCTTGCTTCTCGGTTAGGCAGGACTACAGAAGCGGGATATTTAATCAGAAGCAATTATCATTGTTTTGATCATTTCAGGTCAGCTATCAAACCATCAAACATTTCATTCACATCTGATTAGTCAACAGCCATCAAAATGGCAATGCTATGTTTTCTATTTTGCATTCTTGCATGGCCCTTGCTGTATGTCAAGCAAAGACCCAACCATCCTATATATATTTTTTTAAACCACCATAAAAAGTCTACTTTACAAACTACAGCGTCATTCGACGCAGCCACAGCTTGAATGTGTCAAAAGAAATGACTATTTCAAGGAAGCCCCAGTGTGAAAAACACAAACTAAAACATGCATAAAAGTACCGAACATCGTTGGACCACGCTCGTTCAGTGCAACCTGTTCAAAGCAAAAGCAGACACTGAATCAAATTCATGGAATGCCATTTTACGAGCTGACAAGCAGACGCATCCCTGGCAGCGTTCAGGAAAAACCTTGCTCAAACAAGAATAGCCAAATAACGTCTGGTTGTGCCCGTGGCTGCTGAGGCAGCTTTCCAAATCACGGTGGCCCAGACAAACAGAGCGCATATTCATACTGGGCGACGCGGGCAAGCTGCGTAAATCAACAGGTATCTCAGCATGGGTAAGTCTCTCATGCTGTCAAAAAAAAAAAAAAAAAAAAGAAATAAAACAAATTACAGAGAACAAACTTTTTTTTTTTTTTGCAGTAATCGGGGGCGTCATGGAAGGAACTAGTAGCGGGCATAAATCAACATGTTGATTGTTGACTCTCTGGCCTCGTCTATCTGCCTTTTTTCCCCCTTCAGAAATTATGGAAAACAAACCTAAGTCATGCCAAAGGAACACACACACACACACACACACACACACACACACACACACACACACACGTGCCAAAGTCGACCAGGTATATAAAATGCTTTGGAAGTGCACCCACACCCACACACCCACACACACACACACACACACACACACACACACACACACACACACACACACACACACACACGTGCACTTGTCTGTCTGGCTAATCTCAAACATGACATCACTCACACACAAGCCGTCCACAGAAAGAGAAGGGAAAGGAAGAAATACGGCCACGAGGCGCATATGCACCGACACAACTCTTCGCCGCCTGTGTAAACACACAAACACGCACACTTTTCCACTCGCGCAGAAGCGGACGTTTCCTGCAGAAGCGGCCCCTCGCCACCGCCGCCCTCTCCGACTGACGGGAAATGTATCTGGACAAACTTAACGCGCACACGCTCAAGCGCACAGTTTGCTAGGCCACAATGTTGACTTTGATATTTGCTTGCAGGGACGAGCCGAGCGCCGTTTCTCCACTATCGGGAAGCGGGAGCGGGGGTGTTTCCCCTCCCGCCATCGGTGATGTCAATTTCAGAGCGGAGCGTCAAAATTTGTCACACGATCGCGAGTGTTTGTGAGTTTTCTAGTTTGAGCAGGGTGCGCAATGATCAGTTTGACAAAGTCAGCAAAGGCCCCATTATCAGATGTCTCTCGATGATTAGCTTTAGCGATTATCCTGTGGTTTGGGGGTTTTCATTTTCCCCTCCTCAATCTCCTTGAAAATGGTCAGGGCCAACAATCATACATGCTAGACATGTTCAATATTTACGATAACAAATCCTTAAACCGGGCACATGCATTCTGACAGTCGCGCTCAAATTATCCAGCAAAGGGCCAATTGTTGGATGTGAAAGACTATCCTCGGCGATTATCCTGCGGTTTAGTGTGTGTTAAGGTTGATTTTTTTTTTCCTGGCCTGTGCAGAAGTTCAGTGCTGATAATCGTAATTGTTAAACCTCTTCAATATTTGCGATCACACATACTGACAATTAAGACACATTTGAGCACCCCCCCCCCCCCGGCAATCCAAATCAGCAAGGGCCTGATTGCCACATGTTTCTGAAAGATTATCCTGAGTGATTATCATGTGGTGTGGGGTCTGGTTAGTGTGATTTTTTTTCCTCCCCAATCTGCTTGGAAAATGGTCAAGGGCAACAAGTGAAAATGTTAAACCGGTTCCGTATTTACGATCGTCAACACTGAAGGTGGGTTAACGCTATTAACCACAGTCAGGGGTTTCCAAATTCAAGGGTTTGACACGGGCTCTCAATTGTCCTTTGGTGAAAGTGTGCAATTGGCTACCGAGCGGCAAAAACAAGCAGTATGGTGGCTGGACAAATTGAATCGATGTTTCAATTCCAATTGCAGATGAATTAGTCGATTATTATGCCCATCCCTAAACCGGAGAGAACTATTCATAGGCATGTTTATTCCCTCCATTTCCAGCACAACGATTTGCGCAAATCACCCCGAAAAACAAAAGCAAAAACAGGTGCAGTCCATGCAGCTGCCATCGGATATTAGTGTAGGCCACCTCAACTAATTCCATTTGAGCATCCCCGGCACTGAATTGAAACTCAAGTTCAGTCTATTCAAAAGAATTTTGGGGTGGCGGAGTGGGCCGCAAATAACTGTAATGGATGCTTCTTCGGATGTGCTTATTAAGCAGATTACATTTGCATAATCATCTGTAGCCTTCCAATGGCGCTATGCTTTCGACGCGCTTCAATGCGGTTTCCTCTTGCCCGTGACACTTCCTTGACACATCC